CGATTATTTTTTTTCAAAAACACTAATGGCATTATCAATTAGATAAAATTAATACAAAATTTAAAATTAAAGATTAAAATTGAGCCAACTGAAAGTATAGGATCAAAATGATATAAAAAATAAAATGAAAGAACCACTAGTATAATTTTGTATTTTATAAATTGTTCTTTATTTTTTTTAATTTTTAGACCCATGTATTTATTTAATCCACCACTGCTGGTTCAGCACACAACCAATGCCTTCATTTGAGATATGTGTTGATTTTTTAGCTTAAAAAGTCTTGTTTTGGATAAATTTTTTGATTTTTTTAAACTTTTATGCTGTGTTTGGTTGGAAGATTTGAGGAGGGATTTGGAAAGGGAAAGGGAAAAGGTGTGTGAAACTAGGTGAAATGTAAGTATATTTTATTCACATTTCACCTAACTTTTCCCTTTTCATTTCCAAATCCATCCTCAAATCCTCCAACCAAACACAGCGTTATGAGAAAAAAATGAAATGATTATAATTTTAATGTGATATTTTATTTTATTAATTTTTTAATCTATTTTTATTTTTTATGTCTAAAATAACTACAACTTTACTCAAACTTTTATGCCAAACGAACTCGATATAAACTAAAATAAAATAAAATGAAAAACACAATAATTACTTGTGGACCGGAGGGAAAGATAATTTAGAGGGAAAAGGACACATCATCTACTTAGCATAGCTCATAGGGAAGTAAGCAAAAAACTAGCGTACCCCATAATCAATTCAGAGTAAGACCACTGGGGGTGGTGATTGGTGAAGGCATTTGCCTTTTCCTTAGTCAGGTTTGATTTATGAGGGGCGTAAAATATTAGGTATTTTTTAGTGATTTTTTTTATTTTTTTATTTTTTTGAGATCTCGTACTGTATTTTGATGAAACTTTAATTTTGTTAGGGGTGATTGATGAGCTCTACTGGTATTTCGGTGGTAGGTTCCTTTAAGTCAAATTAGGCTATCAACTAGTTATCTCGACGTCTAGGCCCATAAATACTGTGATGACCCCTCCGACATCATTTTTTTTTATTAAAAAGAAAATCAATTCAAAATAAGTATTGGTGATGACGATTAAATTGATAGAATTCAGATTTTATAAGTGAAATGAATTTGAACCATTAATTTTTAAAAAAAATTATTTATAAATCCTATTAGGGAGACTTTTGTTATATATGATCTTACGAAAAAACTTATGTTCTTATAAGTCTTGTGTGAAGTTTGTTAACACATTTACCCTCAATATTAGTTGTTAATATTATAAATAATGGTAAAACCATATATAGGAAATTGAATGTTATCATATATTAAGTTTGCGAAACGTAACGTGACACTTACATAAACGTAACGTAACGTGACCATATCAGATGGGACATTACATAAACGTAACGTGACACCAACATAAACGTAACGTAACATGTCACGTTACGTTTCACAAACTTTCTAGGGTTTTTGATTTTTTAAATTGAATGTGCAAATGTTACTTATTCGTGTATTTTGAAATTCACATTCATATAGATATGATCTATGGTAACATTCAATTTTCTATAAGTTTGCAAAACGTAACGTAACACCTACATAAACGTAACGTAACGTGACACCTACATAAACGTAACGTAATGTGTCACGTTACGTTTCGCAAATAAAATCTTGTGGAATACATTCCTATCTAAATAGAACTTGAAATTCTATAAGAAATTACACAGGACTTAACATAGCATAAGTGTCCAAAATAGGACGTATAAATAAGTCTCTCTAATTTTTATTTTTGAGTAAATTCCGGATAAATAACTATAAGTTTGTAGTCCTACTTACATTCAAGAGCAAATCCTAATTAATAAAGTGTTAATTAAATTTTGTTTAGTGTCATAAAATTCTTTTTCGCCAATTTTGCACACTTTAAAGTGAGAATTCAGAAAATCAATTCTTATTGAAAGCAAAAAATAATTATTTATTTTTTATTTTGAGACTCATTCTTAAATTTTAATTTTTTCATTTCAAGAAATTTTTATATATTTGTGTTGTGATCCTTAGTGTTGTTATTACGGGTATGTTTTTATTAAATTTCCTTATATAATTGATTATATTATTTAATGTAATTGTATTGGTATTCACATATAATCTCTTATGGATTGAAAAAATAATAATTTTCTTTTCAATTTTGCTATTGGCAAATGAACTATCATTTGAAAAATGTTAGAAATTGTAAAAAAATTATCAAAATTTTTACCAAATATCTCACATAGTTGTGAGACTCACACTATGTGACTCCTATGCGAGTCCTACAACTATGTAAAATATTCAATAAAAATTTTGATAAATTTTTTAGCTCTCTAACATTAATTTTATCATTTATATCGTAGTGAATAGGACTTGGTAAGTAAGTTAAGCTCCACGATGAGATCATCTTCCAAATCGATACAATTAATGCACAAAATCTTTTTATAACCCTGACTTTGTTGAGATTTAAATATTATCAAAATTTTCCTAAATTGTTTCACCGCAAAATATATGGCCCCCAATATATTAAAAAAGAGAAATGTTAGACATTTTAAAAATTCTATCAAAATTTTTATCAAATGTCTTACATGGGTGTGAGACTGAATCCCATGTGTGTCCTACATTCATATGAGAATTTGATAAAAATTTTAGTAAAATTTTTAAAATATCTAACATTTTTAATTAAAAAATGATGGGATAGAAGAAATTTGACTTTAGGATGACATGTGCATTATGTCCACTAATAAGGCTTCTAATGTTTTTAATGAAACCCATATAATAAAATAACAATACTATCTCTTTTAAAAAAACTGTTTAGAATTTAAAATTTTGGACTACATGTGCATTATGTCAAAAAAATAACACCTAGTTTTTAATTTTTGTTGTGTTGAGCTTCTTTGAAGTTGAAATTTAAATTTAATTGTTATGTTGGGACTTATGAGGCTCACTACGGATGATTGTTTTAATGATTCGAATAATTTATTTTTTAAGACCCTCCATATGTATCATATATGGAAAAAAATTAAATTGATCCGATAATCATATTTATTTATTTTATCACATGTTTCTAAAAAAAATATACAATAACATTATTTTTGAAAATAGACTATCCATTGTCTTAAAAACAAACCCAATAAATAAAAATATTATGATTATTGGATTGATTTAATTTTTTTTATAAATGATATATACGAAAGATTCTACTGAATAAACAATTCAAATTATCGAAACAAAAACTATATTTAATATCACAGACCCAACTGTCCGATAATCATATTTTTTTATTTTCACATGTTTCTAAAAAAAATATACAATAACATTATTTTTGAAAATAGACTATCCATTGTCTTAAAAACAAACCCAATAAATAAAAATATTATGATTATTGGATTGATTTAATTTTTTTTATAAATGATACATACAAAAGATTCTACTAAATAAACAATTTAAATTATCGAAACAGAACCTATATTTAATATCACAGACCCAACTGACAATGAGATTTAAAACTTGTCAAGACAAATCAAATCTATTTTTTAATGAGACCCATGAAATAAGCTAATATTACTATATGTATCAATATTTTAAAAATCAGATCGATGAGTGAATCGGAAAGGGATTGAGTGGACGGTTTACCGGTTCAACTGTCGAGTTGAATCGAAAACGAATCGTAATATCATAAATATATTAAAATTATGCTTAAATAAAAATTTAAGTAATAAAATTATAAGTTAAAAAAATAAAATATTAAATTATCTTAAATATTTCTCATAATATATATTTTTTATTAAAAAATAAAAAATATATTTTAAAATACTATAAATTTTAATTTTGAAAGAGAAAACTAAATATTTAATGTTCCTTCCATATGATTATAATTCAAATAATTTGATTGAAAAATAACAAAAATTTTGAAGGGATATCAAAATTTCAAGTCTCCCTCTAATAAATTTTTGAGTTTTTTGGAAATTTTCTTTCTTCTTATAAATAAATAGAGACTTTCACAATAATTTCAAACTTTGAATGAGAGACTCTTGAAAAAGAGTTCTTAATCAAAATTTTCTTATATACATATATATATATATGAAAGAAAGAAAAAAATAATAATTAAAAAATATCAAAAAGTCCAAAATTTTCATTTTAATCAACTCGGCCAGTTCACTTGACTCGTATTTGGGTCATTCCGTTCGGTGGTGTAACTGTCAGTTTTGCTGACTCTCTTTAAATAAACCGATTTTTTTTATTGCAAATGGAGATTATATTTAGACTGAAATTTTGGCCAAATTTTTAAAACCATACTATGTATTTAAAATTTAAAATATATAAATTATTTATTCTAGTCATGAATGACCCACAACGTGTCAACGGACATTCAAATTATAAATTATTTTTTCAGACTAAGATTTTTTTTTTAGAAACACAACTATAAATAATAATGTTATTTTCTCTAATTTATCATCCTTCAGTTTGTGTTTAGTTAGAGAATTTAGGGAGGGATTTAGAAAAGAAAAGAGAAAAATTGTGTAAAATTAGATGAAATGTAAGTATATTTTATTCACATTTTACATTCATTTTCTCTTTCATTTTTCAATTTCTTTCTCAAATCTTTTAACCAAACACTGCATAAATAATTTTTAATGACGTGACATTAAGGTTAATCTCTCAGACAATGAAATATTTGACAAATTAAAATTTAACATTTGCCGACCACATAATTAGAGATATTTTTTAAAAATGATAAATTAAATATTTCAAACATTTTTCATAAATAAATATATATTGATCCAAATTGTTGAATTATATATATGTGACGAATGGTACTTTGTCCTGGAGAAATAAATACTCTAGTATATTTTACGGCTAAGATTAATTCTCAAATTCCACAATGGAAGTACTAAAACAAGACAAGTAAGTGGTCCGAGAAGCACCATAACATTACCAAGGCATGAGTAAGTAGTTAAGAAACGATCTTTACAACCTGATTTGCCATATTCCCCAATCCCATTCCATACACAACAAAAGCAACAACGTGGGAAGTATTCATTTGTAAGAACAATAATACAGGAGAGAGAGAGAGAGAGAGAAATTATTGAGAGAGAGTGTCTGGAGAGAGAGTGTAACGGCCGAGAGCGGGGGGAAAGCGTCGGTGGAAGAACCGGATGAAATTGATAGGGAACCGTACGGACTTAGATCCGGAAGAGTGCGGTGGAGACGCCGCCGCAGACGGCGGAGGAGCGGTGGTGCTGGTCGCCGTGAGGTTGGATTCTCAGAGCAGAGAGTTACTCACTTGGGCTCTCGTTAAGGTCGCTCGCTCCGGCGATCGAGTTGTCGCTCTTCACGTCCTCAATCCCGACACTGGTATATACCAACACTCTCTCTCTCTCTCTCTCTCTCTCTGGGTTTCTATTTTGGCAATGATTTGAAATTCATTGTTTGTGTTTTCTTGTAGAAGGCAAGTCAACTCTTCTTTCTCTTGTCCGGACGTTCGATTCTGTGCTCGCTGCTTACGAAGGTTTCTGCAATCTCAAACAGGTTCTCCAATTTCTACCATTTAATTTTCAATTTTTGGGTTCAATTATCTTTTTTTCCCGTGAAATGTAATAAAATAAGAGCAAATTAATTGATTTGGTGTTTAAAAGGCGTCATATAAATCTCTTTGTCCAATTTTTCCTGACATTTTTTTTCCAGTATTTTTAATTATCTGTTTGTTTTCCGAGAAAATCAAGGGAAAATGAAGCAATTGTGCTTTGAATTGTTTTTGAGGCCAAATCCACATAAAAAGCGTCATACTTGAAATTCTTGCTTGTTTCCTTTTTCGGCTTTTTTTCCCTCTTGGGTTGCAAAGGTGCTTCCTTTTCCTCTTTAAACCTTTCATTCACTGAGACAATATGAGAAAGGAAAATATTTTCATGATTTACTTAAATCTTTTTAATTCCTATGGAAATCAAAACAATTACTTCAACTGCTTTACAATTTTTCCTCTGTTTCGCAGCAACCAAACAGGGTTGTTTATTTTGCAAATTTAGTCCTAATAATTTATTTATTGATTTTGGAAATTAAGAAGATTGAATTGGTTGAAATTTTCAGGTTGATCTTAAGCTTAAGGTTTGTAGAGGTTCATCAGTCAGTAAAATTCTGGTCCAAGAAGCGAAATCTTACGGCACAGCAAGTGTAATAGTGGGACCATCAAAAGCACATCACACAATTCGATCATCAGTGTCGGTTGCAAAATACTGCGCAAAAAAGCTCCCCAAAAAATTTTCAGTTCTTGCAGTCGATAATGGCAAAATCCTGTTTCAGAGAGAAGCAAGTGATTCATCACAAGGTTTTTGTTTGTTTCCTCTTATGGGTTCAATTTCTGTATGGCTTTAGCTTAGTAACAATGCTCTTATGATTCATTTGTTGATAGTTTTTCTTCTTTTGGTTGAATATAGATAATGATCAGAAAAAAAATTATGCTCGGTCAATTCATCGATCATTGAGCAAGAGACCAAAAGTACAAAATAATGCAACGGCTGATGCGGCAGCATCAAAATCAAGTAAAGGACATCTTTCTTCGCAGAAAATCAATTCAGCTGGTAAGAGAAAAGCTGTGAAAGAATTGTTTGAGTTTTTCACCTTACACTGTCTTGCTTGATAATTATTGTACCCCATCAGCAGAGAACTCATCAAGTGGTGGCAATGAGGAAAATTCGTTAGCTTTGGTACCAGTTATGAACCAACTATCACCCAAGTCAAAACATGGTTGGACTCTGCTCCGCCGGTGGTTTTTGCACAACCAGGAACAAACTGATAAATCGTCTTTGAAGAAGAAATCTGTAATGCAACGGGTACTTAAAGTACCTAGCCGGCAATCTTTGGCTGCCGTCTATCCTGATCATAAAAGGAGTAACTCTGACAGAAACGAAGATCATTCTCTGAATTTGGATGGAGAGAGTGGTGCAATTGTTCTGTTTGGGACTGATATTGCCTCATCACCTTCTTCCCCTGGCTACAGTCCAAAAATCCTTCGTAAAGAATTGGAGGGACTCGCCGAGAAGTACTCATCAGTATGCAGGCTGTTTAGCTACCAGGAACTTTTGTTGGCGACATCTAACTTCAAGACTGGTCTGTTTATTATTCTTAAATTGTAATTTACATTTTATAACTAGTTTTATAATTCCTAACAAATTTCTTACTGTGATTGCCAGAAAATTTGGTTGGAAAAGGTGGTAGCAGCCTGGTTTACAGAGGATGTCTTCCAGATGGCAAGGAACTGGCGGTGAAGGTCCTGAAACCATCTGAAGATGTGTTTAGGCAGTTTGTTTTGGAAGTTGAGATTATTACGACTTTACATCACAAGAACACAATACACCTAATTGGATTCTGTTTTGAGGACAAAAGCCTACTCTTGGTTTATGATTTTCTATCAAGAGGAAGCCTAGAAGAGAATCTTCATGGTACATATACAATCTACTTTCTCACGCAGGGATTTGTCTGAAGTTGTTTTTCTCTAGCTTATACTGTATTTTTAATTTATAAATCAGGTAATAGGAAGAATGAAATTGCATTTGGTTGGGAGGATAGGTATAAGGTGGCTTTGGGTGTTGCTGAAGCACTGGACTATCTACATAACGGGTTACATAACGGGGCTGCTGAACCTGTCATTCACAGGGACGTGAAATCTTCAAATATCCTTCTCTCAGATGATTTTGAGCCACAGGTGCTTTATGTGCAATCATTGTGTTTCTTGTTTGAAGCCTTTACTCATATTAACATTCTTAATTCTTATTGGTTCTGCAGCTGTCAGATTTCGGACTAGCTATGCGGGCTTCGGATTCCACACACCATATGGCATGTACTGATGTTGCAGGAACGTTTGGGTGAGTAATTAATTAATCTGTAACTTCCTGAATTCTGCTGTTTGATTAATTTGACTGATGGCAGTCCCTTCTGTTGCAGTTACTTGGCTCCAGAATATTTCATGCATGGCAAAGTGAACGATAGAATTGATGTCTATGCATTTGGTGTTGTGCTCCTTGAGCTTTTGTCTGGTAGAAAGCCAATTGACAATGGAAACCCAAAGGGCCAGGAAAGCCTGGTTATGTGGGTAAGTTTTTTTTATTTATTTAAAAGCAGTAAAAATAAACTTAGAAGCAAAAGGGGGCATATGCCTAAATGAACAAGAAGAAGCCATTATAGCACTAAACTCGTAGCCAATCTGTACTTGTATGTCTACACCACCACAATAATTAATTGTGACGGTCAGACTTGTGTTTGGTTGGGGATTTTGAGAAGGGATTTGAAAAAAGAAAGAGAAAAGTTGTGTGAAACTATGTGAAATGTAGGTATAGTTTATTCACATTTTACATTTTTTTTCTATTTCCCTTTTCAAATCCCCCAACCAAACACAACGTTAATGTTCGGCCTCAAACATTCAACTCTAAACTTGTAGCTCCAAGTGTTTTTCCTGCAGATACTAAAATTCCAATTGTGACAGTAAGCATTTTGACAAAACCATAACAGATCTACAATGCCTCTCACAAATTCCTCTACTAAATTACAAATATGGTATTTTAGGAATTATTTGCTGTTGAGAATAACTTGGAATTTGGGAGGGACAATATCAGGAATTGATAGGGCAAACATAAGAATGTTCGGTGAGGAAATCTAACTCAAGTTATAGAAAAGGAGCATATGAGTCATTATTACAGAACTAGTGGGTGGCACACACGATGTGTGTGCAATTTAAATAAATAGGAATAACAAAAAATAATAATGAAATTAGTATTAAAATGTGTACTTAGCTTAAGTGGTACGAGTCCTCGTACTTAAACCCATTGTCATGGGTTCAAGTCTTGCCCATCTCTTTGTTTAACTTTTTTTTAAAAAATAAAAAATACTGCCACATGGCATGAGGAGAGTAAAGTTTCAGGACACAATAAGAGGTGTTCACTTTATAATAGTATAGATGATCTGGAATAACTGCTTTTTTCCTCTTTCTATATATTCTTAATTTTTTTAAAAATTTTGAGATGTTATAATCAGTTATGTGGTCATTATGAACATTGGACTGAACTAATAATAAGAAGTTGATGACAATATCAGGCAAAATCAATCGTGAAGGATGGCAAGGTTTCCCAATTGCTGGATCCAAGCTTGGGTGGAAACTATGACCATGATCAAAGTGAGAGAATGGTTTTAGCTGCTGCCCTTTGCATCAGACGTGCACCCCTATTTCGGCCACAGATCAGCCTTGTAAGCCATCTTTTACTTGAAAATTATTCATGCTTCTGCATATATTTTTGCTTTATCAGTCATATTGATCTTAAATTAATGATATTTTGTTACAAACAGGTTTTGAAGCTCCTACAAGGTGACACAGACGTAATCACATGGGCAAGACAGCAATTCAGCTCTTCAGAAGAGCTTGATGCTGTTCATGGAGAAGAATTCCCAACAAACATGCAATCCCATCTTAATCTCGCGTTGCTAGATTTGGAGGAAGATTCTCTCTCTACTGACAGTGCTGACCAAAGTGTCTCGGTTGAAGATTATTTACAAGGGAGATGGAGCCGCTCGCCTAGCTTGGAATAATTCAAATGATATTGAGCGTGTGATTTTTCTGTATATTCACTTGGCATTGTTTTGTTTTTGTTTTTGTTTTTGTTTTTGTTTTTACTTTTTGAGTTGGTTTGCATGATGCTGGTGGCTCTTGGATGAGAGGTTGGTTGCAAGGTCTGACCTCCGCCTTGCCTGAAGTAGTCATGCTGTGGCCTAGGTTTTTGGGGGGGGGTTCAAAGGCCCAAAGAACTACAAAGAGAAAAGGGGAGGGAGCTAGTTTCCTGAGCATCCTTGGCTAACAGAGGTTGGATGAAAGTCGGAGGGTCCCACAGAACAAGCATTTTGTTTAGGCTGATTTTGTTCTGAGGATCGCTTCTCTAGCATTTTGTTTTTTTGATGCTAGGGCTATGAAAATGTGTTGCTGAATACTCTGAAAGTGATAACTACTCCATATAATCTGAAGAAGGAAAGCTGTAAAACATTTGCTCTGCATATAATTATTTATGAGTAATTATCTGTCGTGTTATCTAGAAAGTCTTTTTCACTTCTCAAATGACCGATGTAATTGGACTATACCTCTAAAAGTCACTCCATTGACTGGACTATACATCTACAAGTCACTCCATGGACTCAAATCTAATAACTTCATGACCATTTAGACTATAGTCCATGTTATTGATTATTGAAAAGATGAGAGATTTTTTTTAATTTGACTTTCTAATTAGTTTGAGATTTCTTTTCACCTGTCTCCATTCTTCAACTTGTTCTATTTGCATATTCTCACATTGCATTTACCTTTTCTTGATTGTTGTCAATAGATAATGCCACAAAGTCATGTCTGGTGTGAAAGATCTCTCTCTCTATACCCAAATTATGTTACCCACAAGATTTAAGTGGTAAAAATATGGGGGATTTGGTGATTGTCCCATCACTATCTAATTTGTCTTTCAAAAGGATAAGAATTATATAAGTACTTTCAAAACTCCCTAATATTTTAAAACTTGTTTCTTTTACCATATTACCCTCATAAAATTTTACTTTGTATGAAAGTAAAATTTTACTCTGTATGACAGTAAAATTTTACTTTGAAACTAAAAGTAAAATTTTACTCTGTATAAAAGTAAAATTTTACTCTGATATTTTAAAACCCCCTAATATTTTAAAACTTGTTTCTTTTACCATATTACCCTCATCAAATTTTACTCTGTATGAAAGTAAAATTTTACTCTGTATAAAAGTAAAATTTTACGCTCTGAAACTAAAAGTAAAATTTTACTCTGTATAAAAGTAAAATTTTACTCTGAAAAACGAGTAAACTGTGAGACTTTGAAGCTAAAAGTAAAATTTTACTCTGTATAAAAGTAAAATTTTACTCTGAAAAACTAGTAAAATGTTAGACTCTACACAAAAGTAAAATTTTACTCTGTATAAAAGTAAAATTTTACTTTAGTTCTGTCAAATGAAAAAACAGAACAATAGAACCAGAGTAAAATTTTACTCTGGTTCTATCAAATGAAATTTGATAAAAAACAATAAAAATAAATCCAAAACAAAACAAACAAAAACAAAACAAATTAATCAACATATCTAATTGAGAAGAAAAACTTCTAAAACTCGATCAACAATCACAAATCTCACTACTCCATATAATCTGAAGAAGGAAAGCTGTAAAACATTTGCTCTGCATATAATTATTTATGAGTAATTATCTGTCGTGTTATCTAGAAAGTCTTTTTCACTTCTCAAATGACCGATGTAATTGGACTATACCTCTAAAAGTCACTCCATTGACTGGACTATACATCTACAAGTCACTCCATGGACTCAAATCTAATAACTTCATGACCATTTAGACTATAGTCCATGTTATTGATTATTGAAAGGATGAGAGATTTTTTTTAATTTGACTTTCTAATTAGTTTGAGATTTCTTTTCACCTGTCTCCATTCTTCAACTTGTTCTATTTGCATATTCTCACATTGCATTTACCTTTTCTTGATTGTTGTCAATAGATAATGCCACAAAGTCATGTCTGGTGTGAAAGATCTCTCTCTCTCTATACCCAAATTATGTTACCCACAAGATTTAAGTGGTAAAAATATTACATATGAAGTTTGTGTCCAAAAGAACTTTTATGTTCCTAAAATTAAATAGGGCCAGGCTTTTCTACCGTTCGAGATGTTTACAGTCCGAGATCGAATTGAAGTGTGTTGTTAGGCTCATAGGGGTTCACCACGGGATTCTGTTTCGATGATCCGAATTATTCAATGTATATAACTTATTAAGTACTTTATCTTTGTAAAAAAATTATATTAATGGGATATCAATAATTACTTGATCGTCTTAGAATTTTGTTAATGGTAAATATAATTTTCAAAATAAATTATTGGCAAAAATCTAATCCATCAAGCAGCTATTGATATCCGATTAACGTGATTTATTACAAGAATAAAGTACTCGACGAACTCTACATATTGCATGGTTCAGATTATCGAAACAGTACTCATGTCGGGCCTTACGAGCCCAACAATACCGTCCAGTCTACAAAATGAATTGGAGCCAAGCCTGGCCCAATTAAATAGACAAGGATTGTTGCCTTGCCTATATAATAAATCAATTAGGAGTGTTACATTTCTACAAAATCCTCCCTTCTGAATGACGTGAGTATATGAGCATTGGTTATTAATTTGTCTTATTCTTTTACCAAAAATGGAGATGTTGCTACGCGGGTTACGCAGCAGCGGTTGTTGTGCGGCAAAATGAACCCATTTCGGGACTCATTTTGATAATTCGAACCGTTCACATTTTAGAATACATCAAGTAGAACATGCCTGCAAAAAATCAAGTAATCGGATATCGTTTACCCATTCATCCACTCATATTTGTATCTACAAAAATAAATAATAATTGTGATTTAAACTATTAAAATAAATACAAATGTAAGTGGATGAATCGATAAATAATATCCGATTAACTTGATTTTTTGTAGGCATGTTCTATTTAATGTATTCTAATAAAATGTGAACTGTTCAAATTATTAAAATGGGCCTCGAAATGGACCCATTTTGCTGCATAGCAGCCGTTGCTGCACAGCCCATGCAGCAGCATACCACATCATTTGAGGGGTTTGTGGAAGAGAAATTGCGTGGATGAATCATTTTTCTAAATCAATATTATTACAATCTATAATTACAAACAAACGTGAGAGATCAGTAATTTTGGTGCACATTTTCATTGGTGCGTGTATTCATTTTCCTAATAAATTAATCAAAACAAATTAACATTACATATTTTGAGTAATGTTATACAAATAAATAACATATGTACATAATTTTGATCCAGAGCAATGAAATATGTACATAATTCTCTCATAAAAAAAATTTCTATTTGTGCGTCACTTTGCTATTTTGAGTCTAGTTATGATTGAGTTTGATGATGTTGTTGATCCAAAAGAGGGCGAGTCGGGTCGACCCACGCTTCCAACACCTTTCACCGGTCTCAGAGCTCGATGGTGGTGCCTGCAAAAAGGTCCAATGGAGAATGGGAGTCCTCCAGCGGACCCTCTGACGATCAAGTTAAAAAAGATGAGATTGACTGTGTAGAGAGAGAGAGAGTGAAAGAGAGAAGAAGAATGGAGAACTTAACCTTTGATCTGTCTTGGAAACCTTCTTATATCTTTTATTCATCATTTCCTTATCCACTTCAACATGTCATGTTGGCTGAAAGTCTATACTGTAGCTTGCATTGCTCACGGTGAGGTTGCTTGTTCCGACGTGAAGGGGTTATCGCATTTAATGCTGTAGGAGCCTTATTAATGGCTGATGTGTGGTGCAATAACTCTGCAGGATCTTTGTCTGCTTACGTGGCTAGTTCCCTGCTTAACAAGTGTTTAGATGTCATTGGTTCTTGGTTCAACGTTGGGTTCTCAAGGGTATTGGGCTTTAGTACTTGAACCGCGATTTAGGCTCTAAGTGATATGCTAGAACCTTTTGTGGGCCCACTGATGTCAGTATCATTTAGCGCCATCTGTGGGAACGCCACTCCGATTAATAGTTGTGCCCATTATTACCGGAGACCCCTTTCCGATAACTTCTCCTTACCTTCCATTGAGGTGGATGGTTACAGCGAGATCCATGGCTTCTCAACACAATGCCGTCGACTTCCAAGCCGACCCACCCAACCCAAACAACCCACCTCAGTACTTCACAAAGCTCACCAACAGCATCAACCGCTTAGCTGAACAAAACCAGGCCTTGATCAACGCTTTACTCCAGCGAAATCTTCCTATACCTCCTCCGCCACCACAAGATATCCCTCCCAATCGAGAACAGACCCCGAGCCATCCTTTCCAACAAGCCCACCTTTCTAACCTAGAGGATCTACAAGCCCCACCTCAAGACATGAACCCACCACCTCAGGGCTTACATCCATCAATTCAAACATCTGTCCCTGAAGGGGAGGCTAGTAATGTTCAGCCCCCACTGCACTCTGGAGGGGACAATGTTTCTATTTGGGATGCGGAACTCCGAGCCATGAAACTCCAGCTTCAGGGAGTCATGCAGAACATACAGAACAAACCCTCCACAACAGCCAACTCCTTATTTATCGCCTCCATCAGAGACAAACCCCTGCCCCCTAAGTTCAAAATGCCCTCAATTGACACCTTCAACGACATAACTGATCCGATCGACCATTTGGAGACCTACAGGACCCTCATGATCCTCCATGCTTTCCCTGACGAGATCATAAGTCAGGCTTTCCCTGTAATGCTTAAGGGGTCTGCTCGACTATGGTTTAGTCAGCTACCACCGGACTCTGCCTCTACTTTCCAACATCTAAGTGATTCCTTCCTGAGCCATTTCATTGGTGCTCAGCGCCAGCGGGGCCTGGCAATTCAACTGCTTAATATCTAGCAGACGGAAGGGGAGTCACTACGCAGCTTTGTCACCCGTTTCAACACCGAGGCCCTACAGGTGGCGGAAAACGATGACAAAGTCATCCTCACAGCCTTCATGGCCGGTTTACAAAAATTCGATTTCCTTTTCTCCCTTTCTAAAAACCCTTCGACCGCCATGGCCACCCTCCTTTTCAAAACCCAAAAATATATAAATGCCGAAGACTCTTTGGCAGCCCGCCAAGATTCCACACCTAAAAATCCACCCCCTAAGAACAAAAAAAAAAGAACCCAAGACCAGATCCTCCCAATATACACATCAA